ATGCATCGTATTCACCTCACAGGTTTCTGGGAATTGTAGTAACACCATTGCCCCCGTGCAGTACTCCTTTGAAAAGGTCTTTAACCTTCTGCTCTATCAGCTTTAGATGTCTTGGATGCCATGCAGAAGGCATCCTATGTTGGCTAGTCTTAACGGTTAACTTGACACAACCTACTATAACCTGGGAATAGACTTTCAGTTGAGGAGTTATCTAGATTGGGTTGGTTTATGGGCATGTCTGTGGGGATTGTATTGATTATTAAATATGGTGGAAATACCCACTATGAATGTGGGGGGCACCATGTCATGGGCCAGGCCTTGAACTGGCTGAGATAAGAAAGCATACAAGGCTCCACACTTTTATTCTTTCTCTGGCTCTGAGTGTGGATGTGGTACTTTAAGTTCCTGCCTTGACTTCCCCACAATAGTGGACTGCATCCTGTAATTACAAGCAATGAAAACTCTTTTCTCAAGTTTCTTTGGGGCAGGGTAGTTTACCAGAGCAACATAAATTGAGGCTAGAACATATCCAAGAGAGATGGTATTATTATTGTTTTCCTGAGCAAAAGTTTTATTCTCTTTGTGTGTGTCCTTTAAAGGATTTAAAGAACATTATGCTGAGTAAGGGCACACAAAAATCCCCCCAAAATGTGAATATTTAAGAAACCATCTCTTAATCTACTAGAATTGAGGTTAAATATTCAAAGCTATGTTCAATAACTCTTAAGTGGAGTGGGAACTATAAATAAAGGTTGAGTAATCTATAGTCCTGGTTGCCTGAGAAAATTGATTATATATATATATATATATATATATATATATATATATATATATAAAACATTTCTGTTGTCTGTCAAACTTATCTTCCTTTATGTAATCTGCAATTTTTTGTTTGTTTTGTCTTTTTGAGACAGGGTTTCTCTGTGTTGCTTTGGTGCCTGTCCTGGTCTTGTAGACCAGGCAGGCCTCAAACTCACAGAGGTCTGCTTGCCTCTGCCTCCCAAGTGCTAGGATTAAAGGCCTGCACCACCACCGCCCAGCTGTATTCTGTGATGTTTAAATTTAGATATGCATCACTTGGCTGGTCTGTTGTTTCATTTTCTGGTTTCTCTTTCTTGTTTCCTTCTAGAATGACATGGAAATTGGTGGGTTTTCTCAAAATCACCATACCACTATGATTTATCTAACCCTTTTATGTCAATCACATCCTCTTTGCTATTATTTAGGCTAGAGGCAGGAGAGAGAGAGAGAGAGAGAGAGAGAGAGAGAGAGAGAGAGAGAGAGAGAGAGAGAAGAGTCAGTCTCTGAGGGATGTGACCAGGAGTTTATGTTGCCTGACTCATCTAGGGATCATGAAGTGAAATAATCTTAGGATAAGGATGCAGATAGCAGAGTGGAAGAAGAGAAGAAAGTCCTGTACCAACCATGCCTAATGTCTTTCTAACTTTGGAACTGCTGTTCTAAGAGATGCAGTCTTTTCTGATTGGTTGAGTAATTTGTGTTAGGGTTGGGCACCTGTAATTTGCTAAGAAAATATTCCAATGAATGTAATTACATTAGGAAAAAGGGTTGACTGAGATCCATCAATGTTAAAATCCTTCAAGGGCCCCCTGGTTCCCATAGTCTAAAGTCAACATTCTTAAATGACCTAGTTAAATCCACTTAGGATCTTGTGTTCACTTACTACTCAGCCTGACTTCAGCGATTGTTTTCATAGAGTACCCTCCAGAATCCTAGGAACTGGCATCCTGCCCCCAGGTAGGATTTTAGGCTGATATAAAAGAATGCAAGTATTTTTGAGATTAATGATCCATTTTGAAAAAAAAATTAGGTAAGCTGAAAAGATATTAAAGCTACTATCATTACAGTCAATGTACACAGTTCATCATTTTTTAGTGATTACGTTTCTGTTCTTTATCTAATAATGTTCTATTGATTAATTTTAATCAGCTAGTTAACTTTGAGTTCTTAGGATAAATCCTACTTATCATGGTATACAAACTTTTAAAAATGTTACTGGATTTGGTTTGATAATTAAAGAATTAAAAAAATGTATCTTTATTTGCATGTACATGTGTGTGTGTGCTTATCTGTATGTGCACCATGTGCATATATTGCCCACTGAGGCCCAGAATAGGATGTTAGATCCCTTATATAGAGTTACAGGAGTCTGTGAGATGCTCTATGTGGGCTATAGGAACTGAACCTGGGTCTTCACAGTAACTGCTCTTAACTGCTGAGCCATCTCATCTCTCCAGCCTCTGCTTTGGTAGATTGTTTTGTTGGTGGTGGAGAGGGCTCATCAGATTGCTCTGCAATTTTCTTTCCTTAGCCAATCAATTTAAGCATTAATTTGTGTGTGTGTGTGTGTGTTTGAGACAGGGTTTTTTTCTGTAAAAGGCCTAGCTGTCCTGGAACTAGCTCTTGTAGACCAGGCTGGCCTTGAACTCACAGAGATCCACCTGTCTCTGCCTTCTGAGTGCTGGGATTAAAGGCATGCATTACCACCACCTGGCTTTGTTTGTATTAGATGTACCAATCTACCATTACCTAACCTAGGTTGCAAAGAGTTATACCTTTAGTTTCTTCTAAGAGTTTCATTGTTAACTCTTTTTTCTTTTTTAAAGATTTATTTTTTTATTTATTATGCATACAGTGTTCTGTCTGCATGTCTGCCTGCAGGTCAGCAGAGGGCACAAGATCTCATTATAGATAATTGTGATCCACCAAGTGGTTCCTGGGAATTGAACTCAGGACCTCTGGAAAAGCAGCCTGTGCTCTTGACTGCTGAACCATCTCTCCAGCCCTCAGTGCTTACTCTTAAACTGAGGCCTTTGTGTGTTTTGAATTATCTTGTGTAGTTTGTGTAAAACAGTGGTTTAGTTTCACTTTTTTTTTGAGACAGGGTTTCTCTGTGGTTTTGGAGCCTGTCCTGGAACTAGCTCTTGTAGACCAGGCTGGTCTCAAACTCACAGAGATCCGCCTGCCTCTGCCTCCCGAGTGCTGGGGTTAAAGGCATGCGCTACCACCGCCCGGCTTTCACTTTCTTTTTAAAATCCAGTTGTCCCAGTATCATTTGAAAAGTTTCCTTACTCACTAAACTGGTCAGTGTTTTCACAGCAACAGAAGGCAAACTAGAACATTCATTGTTGGCAAGTCAATGTTCTTAATAACCACTTCAGAATGTTTATTTCTTTAATACTGTTATTAATGTTCATTCATAACTTAGAAAATTAAACTTGATCTCCTTTTCTCTTTTGTCCATATAGCTAAAGGTTTGCTTATTATTTTTTAAACAGTAAACCAAACATAGTTTTTTTTTTTACTTATATGCATTTATTGTGTGGAGGATTTGAATTTATTTTTACCCCAGGGTATTACTTTTATTATCTCACATTAAGCTTAGTTTTTAAAGCCATTTTTAAAGTTTTTTCCTTTTTCTTTTGTTCTTTCTTTTTTTTTTTTTCTTTTTGGCTTTTTAAAGATAGGGTTTCTCTGTGTAACAGCCCTACCTGTCCTGGAACTAGCTCTTGTAGATCAGGCTGGCCTTGAACTCATAGAGATCCACCTGCCTCTGCCTCCCAAGGGCTGGGAGTAAAGTCATGTGCTACCACCACCAAGCTAGTTTTTTTTTAATAGCAGAAAATTGTGTTTTTAATTTGAGCTTTTAAAAATATACTCTTTATAGCTACAAATGTTCTAACACTTCTTTAAACATGTCTTATGCTCCTTTCTTCTTTCCTCCCCTCTCTCTTCTCATTTTGTGATCCCCATAATGCACATTTTGGCACTCCCGGTGATATTTCCCAGGTGTCTTGTGCTCTGTTCATTCTTTTGCATTTGTTTTCATTCTTTGCCTCTGATGATAATTGAAACTGACCTTCCTTCAAGTTGCTGGTTTTTCCTTCCTGTTCAAATCTTGTTGTATTAAAAATTTCCAATTTGCTGTTGCAATTTTCTGCTCTGGGATTCTGATGAGTTTTGGTGTCTTTATTTTATTTTAGGTTAGACATTGCTATACTTTTAGACTTTTTGAAGATTATTTTTATTCTTTTTTGAAAATTGACAATAGAGTCTTTTCTCATACAATACATTCTGACCACAATTTCCCCTCCCTCCATTCCTCCCAGCTCCTCCAGCCCCTCTCCACCCTATTTCTCTTCAGAATAGAGCACTTCTCCAAGAGATACACAACCTGTTAGAATGACCAAGATCAATAACACACATGACAGGTCATGCTGGTGAGAATGTGGAGCAAGGGGAACACTCCTTCATTGCTGGCGGGAGCACAAACTTGTATAACCACATGGAATCAATATGGTGGTTCCTCAGAAAATTGGGAATCAATCTACCTCAAGATCCAGTTCATTGTGTTCTTTTGATCAACGTTTAAAAGAGCTGAATGAAAACTTCCATGTTTGAGTCTAGGGCTTAGGCTTCCCTGGGAAAAGGATTAGTTGACTTACTTACTTTTCTCCATTTGTGAAGAGTATGCTTTCCAATTTATTTACATATCTAAGAATAGTTTGGTTGAAAGTTGCATAGGTAATGTGGCAAAGTGGGCTAATGATTGGGTATAGATTTTCTTAACTGCCTCGAGCCAACAAAATACCCAGTGTTTTTCTTTCTTTCTTTCCTTTCTTTCTTTCTTTCTCTCTCTCTCTCTCTCTCTCTCTCTCTCTCTCTCTCTCTCTCTCTCTCTCTCTCTCTCTCCCTCCCCCCCTCCCTCTTTCCCTCCCTTCTTTTCCTTTCTTTCTTTCTTTCTTTCTTTCTTTCTTTCTTTCTTTCTTTCTTTCTTTCCTTCTTTCTTTCTCTTCAGGCCCCTATGGGGGCCAGGGGTTGATGCTGCCATGTTGTTCTCCACCTTATTTGTCTGCACATATTCTTCACACAGGTTTCTCAGTGAATTTGACACTTGGTGTCTCAGCTTAGACTGGTGGACCAGCTATCTCTGTCCCCCTCAGGGAGGGTCACAGATGTGAGTTATGCCCCTCTCTCCATTACTCACGTTCATCCCAGAGTCTGGGTCGATGAAACGTGTTTCTGAACAAGTCGACTGTGATGACTGTAATGACCAGCTCTGAGATGATACATAAGATGGAGATCTGCAGAAGCATCATGCCAGCCATCTGGAGTAGAAAAGAAAAATCCCTCGTGTGAGCAAACCCTCCGAGAATGGAGAGAAAAGCATTGCGGGGTTAGAATAAATCATTTGCCCTTTCAGCTTCAAACAGCTATGGCTATTTCAAGTTAGTTGCTTCATTATCTATGCAGAAATCACTTGCTAAATGCTTTAATCCTGTTATCAGCTCCCCAACTTTTACTGCTGCTTTGCACTAGACGAGGCTGGGAAGCAGAGGAAACAGAGCACAATACGGTTTGCTGAGTAACTTCCTTTTCTCAGTCCCTATTGGTGGGGCTGACATAGGATCTGTGTTTTACGCTCTTCTATTTAATATATTCTGTTTTCTTTACTATACCTTGCTCTCAGTGATGTTGCTGCATGAGGTTGATGAAGCTATTCTCTCTCAGCTCATGAGAAGAGTGAGAATTTACCTAGTGGACCATTCTGTTAGAAACAATCAGATTCTTTCGGGTTCCATCTTTTTCTTTTTTTTTTTTTTCCAGAATGAATTGTGTTTAGAACATCTTATTCTTTTTTCAATAGCTGATTATTTGTCTGGCTTCCAATAGGGTAGAATTTGTTATATTGTATATTTTAAATAGGCAGATGGGTTTAACCCATTAAAATAGGTGTGATGGCTAGTTTATGTCAACTTGACACAAGCTAGAGTCACTGGAGGGAACCTCAATTGAGAAAATACTTCTATAAGATTGGGCTGTAGACAAGTCTGCATGATATTTTCTTAATTAATATTGATGTAGAAGGGCTCAGATCATAGAGGGTGGGGCTACTTGGGGCAGGTGGTACTGAGTTCTATAAGAAAACAGACCGAGCAAACCTTGGGGAACAAGCCAGTAAGCAGCATCCCACCATGGCCTTTGCATCAGCTCCTGCCTCCAGGTTCCTGGACTCTTTGAGTTCCTGTCTTGACTTCCTTGGACGATAAACAGTGATGTAGAAATGTAAACCAAATAAACCCTTTCCTCTCCAAGCTGCTTCTGGTCATGGTGTTTCATCACACCCATAGCAACCCTGACTAAAACAGTCAGTGTTAGCAAATTCATCGATGAGAATTTCCAAGGCAATAATCAACGATGAAGCTGACAGCTCTGTGTGCATTCTTGGGTCTTAGCTCAGTTGTTTGAATGGTGTGTCTTGTATTAGTTGGAATAAAACACTGGAGAAGGAGGCAGCAATCTACTGGCCTCCTGTGCTAGTTCTCCAAGTGTGTTGTAATAAAGAAGCACCATAACATGAATGTCTTCTACAATAGAAATTAATTGTCTCCTAGTTCTAGAGGCTAAAAAAATCCAATGTATTGGTGGGATCAAGCTCCTTCTAGACACCCTGAAGGAGCGTACTTCCCTCTTCAGATTCTGGAAGTCCCCTGAAGCACAGCAGCATCATTCCCATGTGTCTTTATACTCGTGTGGCCATCTTCCTCATGCACCAACTTTCCTTTTTAGAAGAACACTAGTGATATGGTCTGCCCTTCTCCAGTGTGACTTCAGTTTAACTTAACAAATTATTACTATAATGGTTCCATTCACTGAATTTCACAGTTGCATGTACTTAAAAAATACAATTCAACTTATAATTATTTGCCTCTAGTCCTTCCAAGTTTATGTTCTTTCCATGTTTAAAATATTTTCATCTCATCTCAACATCTCTCCAAATTTTAACAGCATCAATTCTGAGTCCAAAATCTCCCTAAATATTATCAAGCCAAGAAGCCTAAATCCTTCTTGAAATTAGTTGTAGGAGAAACGCATGCTGCAGTCTAGTAGTGGGTAAAATCTCTCTGCAGCTGTGGACTCACGGAGCCAGAAAACAAGTCATTCAATGCTAAGACAGACCCAGAGTGGAGCGGAACAGAAGTCACATTCCCAAAGTGGAAAATTAAGAAGGGGGAAAGCTCACAGGGCCTATTCAAGTCCACAACCTAGTGGAGCTACATTTTGGTAGCTTTAAGAGGCCTGACAATAATTCTCAGTAGCCTTATCCTCTGGTCTTCTGGGGACTGTCTTTGCCCACTGAGGCAGTGACCCTATTCTCCTAGCCCCTGGGCAGTGACTTCATTTATTTAGCTGCTGTTATCCCAGCCTATCTTAGATCAAAAATAAAAACATTTTGTTAAGTTTCCTCCTCTCGTTTCCTAGTTTTCTTTCTTGTTCATGTAGTTACGGTGATTTTCATATTTTTATGCTTATGCTTTTATCTCTGACTTACTTTCCCACACAATGAGACTATGTGGCTATTTAAATTTTCTTTGAGATAGATATCTCATTGATTTGGTACTCTTTAAGTTTCATTTCCCAATATGACAGATATGACTTCATCCCATAAATAAATGTGTTGTAGGAGTCAAAGGACCAGAACTTTGCTGTGAGATGGTGTTTTCTGGACATGACAGGGAGGGAAGCTGTACCCACGAAATCTCAACAATATGGTTACCCGAGAAGACCTGCACAATGACAACTGGCTGACATGCCAAGGAGGATGGAGGAAGTTTCACAAGCCCAACTCCTGACAGGCAGCCAATAGGTGCTGAGGGAGGGAAAACCAGTTTTCTCCAGGGATGCAGCCTTGGTAGGTTATCCAATGCCAAGAGGTCAGCCCTAAACATATGTGCGCATGAGTGACACTGAGTAGACTCAATAGTTTATAAACAATAATGACTGTGGGAAAAGAGGTCATGAAGCCAAGAGGAAGGAGAGAAGAAAGGAACTGGAATAAGAGGTGGGGGTAGCAATGATGTTAATACAGTGTACTCATGGATGAAGTCCTCAAAGATGAATTGTTTCTCGAGATAGGGATCTTGACGTGTCACTCAGTTGCCTCCAGTCCCAGCTATTTCTGCTATTATTTGGTGGGTCTGTATTTGTGTGACGACCATATGATTGTATTCCACTATCACAGTAACAGCTTTCCTGGCTACTCCAGCAAATTCTCTGCTCTTTCACAGCCATTATGTGCTCTCTAGACTTCCTTAGCAATTTTAAAACTGTTGTGTTTTTTTATCCATATATATCTTAGAGCAATTTCATTGTATCGTTCATAATAAGGTTTTATTTATATCTAACACTATTACTGAGTTATCATTAAAATTAGTACTTACATTTGACCAAATGTATTCATTTCCCAGGGCTTCAAAAGCTGGAAACTCAACGGCAAATATAATTATTCCAATAATAGCCACGAAGATACTTATGGTGTTCATTACAATTCCAAACACAAGCTGCAATATGTAAAAAGAAAACAAAAAGGTCATGGATAAAAGAAATAGACTTAAAACACTATTTGTGTTGTGTGTATGTGTGAGTGTGTGTGTATACACATGGGTATTCTCTGTCTTCCAACTCACCCTAGACATAGTGGGGTTACAGGTGAGGTACTGAGTCTTGCTTACATTGGTTCTGGGAATTTGAGCTCAGGTCTTCATGTTTGTGCAAGGAACATTGTACCCACACAGCCATCTCCCTACCTCTTTTGTACTAAAGACAACTTGTAAAATCCCACTTTTGGCAAGCTTATTAAAAGTAGTAGCTATCAAGACGCTGCCCCCACCTTGTCTAGAAGTTAGTTACATAAAAGGGTTTTATTTCACAAGAGGCATGCGCGTGCTCATCAGGGTATCACTATGCAATACCTGCACTGTGCTAAGCATCAGAAGCTTACAACAGGGACTGCACAGGTTGCTCAGCAGTTAAGAGCATTGGCTGTTTTTTCAGAGGACCCAGGTTTAATTCCCAGCACCCATCGGGGAGCTCACAACTGTCTGTACCTCCAATGTCATGCCAGGGGGTCTGATGCCCTCTGAGGGCACTTACTGTACACACATGGTGCACAGACATGCATGCAGACAAAACACCCACATACATAAAAAATAAAATGAAAAAAAAAAAGAGCGACTTAGAATAATGATCATGGGGAGAAAATTATATTCTGGTTGTAATGTAATGAAATTTGCTAAGTACCCTGATATCGACACGTTTCGAGCTCAGAACTTGCCAGGCTTATTCCTGCCACTTCACTACTTAAGCCCTTTTAGCGGTTCCAAACTTCTGTTGAAACAGCCACCAAACTCTTTTCAGAGGCACCAAGGATATGGCATGAGCTATGAAGGAAGGGCGTCCCCTTGAGAAGGAGCCGAAGAAGTTGTATGTATTTTGTATTCATGTGTGAGAGACTGTTGCATGTTAGAAAGTTGTGCTTGTGGTAATAGGAAGAGGGTATGACTTAATGACCATCAACAGAGGACTTATGGGACACAGAAATGCCAGGTTGTTTAGCAGGAAGTCCTCTTTGTATTTTAAGGACTTTCTTCTTTAGTTATCCTACCAATTTTGTACTTGCACACACAAACGTGTGTGTGTGTGTGTACATGTGCATGAACATGCAGGTGGTGTGCATGTGGAGGCCTGGGCTGAGGCTGGGTATCATCCATCCTCAATCACGCTTCCATCTTATTCCCTGAGGCAGTGTCTCCCAGTCAAACCCGGAGTTTACTCATCTGGTTGGTCTTATTATCCGGGTTGCTTTGGGGCTCCTCTGGCTTCTGGGGCTGCAATGGCAGGTGAGGAACCATGCCCACCTGGCATTTATATGGATAGGTTCTGGATATCTGAACTCTGCTCCCACATTAGTTTAGCAAAGGGCTTCAATTAACCAGCAAGTCATCTCCTTAGTGGCCCCACATTAGCTTAAGTTGTTGTGAAGGAAACTTTGAAATCTTCTGCCGAGGAAACCAGGAGACCCCACTTGGTTCAGTTTCGTAGTATCCTGGCCATGGCTTCGTCTATGGATTGAGAATCTACATCCTATCTGACACGGTGGCACCTGTCTTTAATCCCAGCACTCAGGAGGCAGAGGCAGACAGATCTCTTGGTTCAAGGCCAGAATGATCTACAGAAAGTTTCAGGATAGCCAGGCTACATAGGGAAACTCTGTCTTGATGGAAACCTCCTTCCCTCCACGAAGATCATTTATAAAAGACAATGAGCGTATCCGATTATAAACACATGGTGCTGAGGAGTGATGCCAATTGCTTCTAGAGAAGGAACCTGGCTGGTTCTGCATAGGAAAGAGACTTGGGCCGTTCTCCTTGTGGCAGTATGGAGGAGAAAGAGGCATCCAGAGATGTTTGGGTTTCCAAAAGGCTGCAGATAGATTGTGGCTTGGAAATTGCAGCCAGGCTCTCCACACCCCCATGCTTCCAGAGAAAAATCCAACGTGCCTGATGAGTTTTCGGAAAATCAGCCAATGGACCGTATTTGCTTCTACCTGTTAGCACGGTTGGTTGCTGCACAGAAATTAAGACTTCATACAAAGGCAGAAACTGAGTATGAGCTGGAATTGGGTCAGGAACTTGCAAAATCTCAAGAGGGTTGCCAGGGCTTTGTGGTCAACTGCGCCATTGCTCTGGAAGAGCAACAGCAGATGTTTAGCCCCGTGCACACTTGCTTGCAGACACTTTGGGGTCATCAGCTTAGAACAGGACAAGGAAGGAAGACGATATTAACAGTGACTGTCTAGGTTATGGTAAAAATTAAAAAGGTAAGAAACCCAAACCCTGGTTCACCACAATCATCATAGTTGCCGAGCTCCTTCTCAGCAAAGTGGCCTCTCTCATGCCACTGTCCTCTTGGGGGACAAAAAGGAAAATAGGTTGTTTAGCTGAAATAGCAAACATAGTTTTTAGCTTGCTAGTGTTATCCATGTTTGCTCAGATCAGTGGGATGCACAGAGAAGCGTTTGCTCAGGGTCACACAGCTAACACGGGGGTCTTCAGAACCCGTATCCACGCATGTGAGCTTCCAGAGCCGTGACTAACCACCAACCACCAGGGGCTGGCAGAGGCGTGGAGGGAAGTTCTGAACGACGACACGTGGGACTGTTCCTTGTTGGGGTGTCCGGGTGGTAGTCCACGGACCTGGTTTCCAGAAGAAAATACTCTTTCCAGGTGGTTATTCCTTTCTCACCCTCTTCTTAGCAGCCCCAAACCTTTCTCAACTTGACATAAACTAGAACCATCTGGCGGAAGAACCTCAAGTGAAAGAGTGCCTCCATCAGATGCTTCTCTAGGCAAGTCTGCAGGACATTCTCTTGATTAATGATGGATGTGGGAGGGTCAGACACGTGACAGGATGGCCAGTGCCACCCCAGGGCAGGTGGTCCTGGGTTGTATAAGGAACTGGGGTGAGAAAAACCACAAGAAATGAGCCAGGGAGGCAGAGGCAGGCGGATCTCTGTGAGTTCGAGACCAACCTGGTCTACAGAGCTAGTTCCAGGACAGGCTCCAAAGCCACAGAGAAACCCTGTCTTGAAAAACCAAAAAAAAAAAAAAAAAAAGAGCCAGTTAGTGGCATTCCTCTATGGCCTCTGCTTCAGTTCCCACCTCTAGGTTCCTGCTAGGAGTTCTCTCAGTGATGGAGTGTGACCTAAGTGTTATAAGATGAAATAGACCCTTTCTCCCCACGTAGCTTTTGGTCATGGTATTTTATCACAGCTATAGAAACCCAATTAAGGCACCGACTAAATTACCTTCAAACTTCCCTAACTTCCCTTCCTCTCCTTTGAGAGTTTTGCTTTATGACTGATACTCCCTTTAGATGACAATGTGGGTTCATTCCACGAGGACTCTCTCATCTCTCTCCTTATTTGCTCACTAGGCACCCCTTTCCCATACTGCCACATAAGACACATTGAGGTAGTTAGGCGGTGGTGGCGCACGCCTTTACTCCCAGCACTCAGGAGGCAGAGGCAGGCAGATCTCTGTGAGTTTGAGGCCAGCCTGGTGGTCTACAAGAGCTAGTTCCAGGACAGGCTCCAAAGCTACAGAGAAACCTTGTCTCGAAACCTGCCCCCCCCCCAATAAAGATCACTTATCAAAAAGAGTTGATTTATTAAAAAAAGACACATTGAAGTGCATTTTTAAAAGTTAGGTGATACTTTTCATCTGGGCATTTGGAAGAGCTCCCCCACCCTGCCACAATGTCTCAGAATCATCAATTTCTCTCCCTATTTATGCCATGTAACACTTCATCTTTGGGGTGTGTACTGCTTTCCCACATACCTGACATGCTGAAGCATCACCCTGGACTACACTGCTGGATCCTGAGTTGATGAACTGCGGGTAGAAATAAATATTGAAACACCCATGCTCAGGACGCTCCGTCCCCTCAACAGATTCTCTCCCTAATACCAGTGTTGTTCTGATGTTTAAAGTATCCCTGGATTTTAAGAAGAAAGTGGCATTGAAATGGAAAAAAAAATCTATTTTGTTCTAAGGGATTCCCTAAAAAAAATTCTACTTTTTCTCTGTTAGAGAGATGAAAAGACATTTAAAAGATGTTTATCATTCATGAGATCAGCATGTAGGTGATGGCACTCAGGAATTTCTCAGTAGTTTTATGAGGGGCAAATAGTGGATCCTTGGCTTGCTTTGATGGTCAGTTAGCAAGTCAATGACCTGAAGTATTATAAACTAAGATGGCTAGTACGGTAGCTCTCATTCACAGGAGTCCTCCTTCTCATGATATTCTAGGGGAAAGCCCCATCACTGCAAAATGGTTTTGGAAAACAATTCATCAAATGAATTCTTTTGCTTTATTTATTTATGGCCATTTTCCTCTAGCACTGTGATCTCTGTGACCTACTGAAACGAGTTGAAAGTGTGGCTGTTTGTGGATTATTCAGAGTTAACTCTTCTTCCTGTAGTATGTCTTCCATTTGTGTGCAGTGTTTACAAAAATGACAAATATCCTAAGAAGGACATGAAGACTCTCCCAACCCAGGAGGATGCAATCTGTTATGAAAGCAGAGGACCAATGCTGTGGGATAATGCTCTTGTACACTGTAAAGATTTGTCAGTTGTTTTGGTTTAATAAAATGCTGATTGGCCAATAGCTAGGCAGGAAGCATAGGTGGGGCAACCAGACTAGGAGAATTCTGGGTAGAAGAAAGGAAGAGGTGCAGTTGCCAGTCAAATGCAGAGGAAGCAAGATGAGAATGGTGCAGCGAGAAAAGGTACCAAGCCATGTGGCTAAACATAGACAAGAATTATGTGTTAATTTAAGTTGTAAGAGTTAGTTAGTAATAAGCCCGAGTATTAGGCCAAACAGTTTATAATTAAAATAAGCCTCTGTGTGTTTATTTAGAACTGAATGACTGCAGGACTGTGTGGGAAAGAAACTTTCGTCTACAGACCTTAACTTGGTCTAAAGAAAACCCTGACATTTTATTGTGGTGCACTCTGTTAGAGTTACTTAAACTTTGCAGAATTTGTCTTCCTCATTCGGAAAGTGGGATATGAAGAGCTACTGCATTTGATCCTTGTGGAAATTGCTAAAATGAGCTTGAAGTGCCATTGGAAAATGCATCATGCAGTGATAGACATATATTGAATATTATTTGTGGTTAATTTCTTCTATAAACTTCCTGTTTATGTCTTGGGCTTAGGATTTTTTTCTAGACACTTTGCGATTGGAGACTCCTTGTACCATTTCCAGTTTAAGCCATTGTTCTTTACTGTACACACCTCTTTCCAGAAAGTTGTCAGTTTTGCAATGCCTTCAGAGGTGAGCCCTCTGAGGAAGTGTCTGCCAATCAATGAAGTGAATGTCAGACCCCTGCTGAGTGAAATGAGTGCTTGTATGTCTCAGAACGTTCCACAAAGTTCAGGGACTGGGCTCTACTCAGACCTATGCTCCTTTATAGCTCCTTCTTGGTAGAGGAAGGGAAGGATTTCCTGAAACCTGTTCTCTGTAAAGAAGCTCACCCTTAGATTAAGATTGCTGCTTCTGGAGGCTTGCGATCATGGGGAAGTCAGTTGTGACACTAGGCCACATGACTTCTACATACATGACCCCCCATCAACAAATTTCTTCTGGATTGAGTGCATCTGTGAACTAAGATAGCTAGGGGAAATCATAGCTTTGGGCTTCCCTCAGTATAATTACTTTAAATTGGGGATGCTCCTCATGGGCAATTCGATAAACACACCAAAGAAATTAGAATATCCGCTTTAGGAATCTCTATTTAATTTCCCTCGACTTCTTTTGGGTCCCCAGGGCTCTTCTTTTCTTTTCTCTTATGTAATTTTTCCAAAAATCACCTCTAATTCTGTAGGCATTAAACTCTTGCTTTTGCATTTTCAACCTGAAAAGAAAGGTCTTATAGTCATTATATAGTCAGCCATGTCCTTTGTGAGTTTTCTGAATAATAATCCTTTGATATCGTTTCTACCTGTATGTCCCGACCTCTTGAGACACTTAGCAGAATGTGAGACAAACGCAAAAAATAACTCATCCAGGCTCAAATGAGCACTGAAAAGCAGCGACTGAGTCTAGTATACTGGTGACCACCACATATTTGAACTGATCAATTAAAACCAAGTAAGGAGAAATCAGTCATGCCCTAGTGTACTCACAAGTGATCCAGACACAAACATGTAAATGATGGTAACTGGCATCAGGACAGGACCGACACTGTGCGTCTCATCTTCTAGATGGTACAAAAAGAACCAGAGACTCCCCAGTGCACTGTGAATTAGGCCAAGCATTATTTGTGCAGCCTGTGAGAAGAGAAAGCCAGTGTTATTCTTCAAGGTGAATCTACAAAGGGTGGTTTCAGCGTGTGGCTGAGAAGCCTTTAATATGTTTAGTTGGCTCTGTGTATTAGTATATTAGTCAAGAGTCTCCAGAGAAGAACATTCAGTAAGATGCTGATTCTAGTCTCTGCAGGATATTGATGTAGTCATGGAGACTCCAGACACCATTCCACTGTGCTGTCAAGCCCTTTGCTTCAGGATGGTGAGTGTTCACGATCTCTGAGTGCTGAAGGAACTATACGTCAGCTAGGAGCCCAGGTAGAGACTGTTGTGGCAGTCACTGTTGGGTGCTTTGGATCTTCTTTGCTCGAACCAGAAGGATTTTATTTAATAGCAGCTTCCAAGTGTAATTATTTTGATTGTGTAGGTGACTCCAGTTAAGTGGAAAGCAGGGGCCTATTGATCTGTCTTTCCACAGAAGGATGCTATGGCTAAAGGGAGAACTGCTGATTGTGGGATCTTAAAGTCTTTTCTGAGTACTGATCTCCTTCCTAGGCACGGTCTTATAGGCAGACTCTAGCCTGAAGATTATGTATCTCTTGCTCTTAACCCACAAAACCAGCTAGGGGCTTTTGGCCTCTCCTTTTTCTCTTTCCTTCTTGACTGGACTTGAACTTTGGTTTCCCTTGTCCTACCCCTTCCCACATCCAGTGTTGACCTTTGCCACTGGAAACTAAATTAGTTTAGGCCTTGTTTTGAAAAATTGTATTCACAAAGTCCAAAAGCTAAGGATCTATGGAACAGTGATGAAGATGGGGAAGATGTGGGTTGACATTGTGATAGTTCATTTTTAGTCAACTTGAAACTGGAGTCATCTGAGAAGAGGTAACCTCAGCTGAGAAAGTTTCCCAGCACACCAGCCTGTAGGGCAGCACATGGGGCATTTTCTTGACTTATAATTGATGTAGAGAGACCACTTCTGATTAGGTGGTCTTAGGGTATATAAGAAAGTGGATTGATTGGTGGCGGCACTCGGGAGGAAGAGGCAGATGGATCTCTGTGAGTTCAAGGCCAACCTGGTCTACAAACCAAATTCCATGATGGCCAGAGCTGTTACACTGAGAAACCCTGTCTCAAAAAAAAAAAAAAAAAAAAAAAAACAAAACCAAAAACAACAACAACAAAAACAAAACAAAACAAAATAAAACAAGAAAGCAGGTGGAGCAAACCGTAAAGAACAATCCTGAAAGTAGGGTTCCTCCATGACCTCTACTTCAGCTCTTGCCTCTAGGTTCCCTACCTTAGCTTCTTCTGTTAATGGACTGTAACCTACAAGCCAAACAAACCCTTTCCTCCCCAAGTTGCTTTATGTCTTGTTATTCTTTTTCCCTGAAGCAACAGGAAGAAAGCAAGCTAAGGCATGTAACCACCTCACCAGTCATCCTCTCTACTTGATTGCTTAAATCCTTCTCTACTGAGAGCGCCCTTTGCTGAGGGCTGGCTTGAGATGCAAATATGTTTAATTTTCTTTTGCTTACCTGGAGATTTATGTCAAACAATGCTTTCCTAGTGTCTTCTTAGTTCCTGTTTTTATTGAAAGAAAAATCTGACAGAAGCACCTTGGCAAAGAAGAGGTTTCTTTTGTGCAACAGTTCAAAGGTACAGTTCATCATGGCGGGAAAGTCAAGGAAACAGGAACATGAAGCAGCTGGCCACATTTTAACCATGGTCAGGAAGCAGAGAGAGAGAGAGATGAATGCTTGCTTTGCTCAGTCCTCGTTCCCCATTTATACAGTACAAAATTCACAGTGGCCACGTCTTCCTTTACAATTGTTATAATAAAGATAATCTCCTGCAGACACGTGCAGCTGTCCCCCTCCCTGAGGATTCCCTAGTCTGTCAAGTTGGCAACACTGTCACATCTTGTCACCAGTTTATCAGTCTTGTTTCCTCCAAGCCCCTGATCAGCTAGCCAAACCATAGAACTTGTATCAGTGGGCTAGCATCTTATCATTTCTCCTATCCAGAAAAAGCAAGCAGGTGTAGCGCTTGAAATTATGCATCTTGGCAAGGTTTTCCGTCACATTTCTCCTTTGGGGGTACCCCAGTCAGGGGCTGTAGTACTGCAGCTATCTACTTTTGGGTAGATACTTGGATATCAGGCATAATCATTTGTAAACCAAGGTTTAATTACACTTTCCTGGTTTAACTGATAATAGGGCCATCAGGCCTCAAAAAGAGGCTGGATAAAAGGAGGTAGTAAGAGCGTTGGGCGTTTGGGCTGTTTCTTCACTTATTGCGTGCTTGGATTTGCCCACAAATATATGTCCATTTGGTGATGGAGTTTTTACTGGTGACTTCTGCTTTGATATAATGTATAGAAATAGAGATGTAGGATGGGTTTCCATGGCTTGCCCATTCTCATGGTTTTCAGTGTTAGCTCCTTTTTTGGGGGGCATGAGCCACAGACTTGCTCTAAGTTCAGTGAAGGAACCACAAGAATTTTATAGGAAGAACTAATTCAGGATTCTAATCCCTTGTTTTTCTCTGAGGTTGTAGATCTCATTAATAAGTCAATCTATGTCTTCCCAGAGTTGGTAGTAGTATCCATTCTCAAGGTCGTGTAAGGAGAAAAGGAACAAGCTGCCTTGACCTATAATATCATGGGATTAGTGTAACGTAGGGAACCACCAGTTCCCTCGCCTTACTATATATGTGCCTTGTATTTTTGTAATAGACCAGTCAATTCCAAAACAGCTGAAAATGGTCATATATTTGATATGTTTGGATTTTCTAGGTGCAGGTTTTTATTTTGTTTTTGAGATTATAATACAGTTACATCATTTCCCCCTTCCTTTTTTTGTTTCCCTCCAAGCTCTTCCATATAACCTCCCTTGCTCTCTTTCAAATTCATAGCCTCTCTTTTCATTTATTGTTGCTGCATATACATATTGTACATGTATGATGTATACATTGCTAAATATAACCTGCAGTCTGTATAGTGTTACTTGTATTATGTTTTCAAGGTTGACCATTTGGTATGGAATAGTCAACCAATTGGTGTGCTCCTCTCTGGAGGAGATAATCTCTCTCATTCTCAGCATTCCTTTGTTGCCTCTAGTTCTTCGTCTGGGGTTGAGACTTTGTGGGTGTCCCCCATCCACTTTGACATGACTGTTGGGGTCCTGTTCTGCTCCTGCAAACAGGACTTGTTTAACAGTCATGCTGGTGAGCCTTTAGGAGCCTATCTGCTGACATTAACAGGAGACCCAGTCTTACAGCAAACTCCGGATCCTCTGGCTCTTACATCTTCCACTCCCTCTTCCACATTATTCCCTGAGCCTTAGGCGTGGGAGTTGTTGTGTAGGATGTAGCCGTGGGACTGAGCTCGACAACTCAGCTTAGCATTTTGATTGCTTATGCTTTTCTGAAACGGTTTCCATCTGTTATGAAAAAAGACTCCTTGATGAAGGCTGAAAACTGAACTTACCTGTGGACATAAGGACACATATTTAGAATGTAGTTAGGGATTAGGCTAGTTTAATAAAGTTGCAATGGAGAAGCTCCCCCCCCCCCACCAAGATCTACAACTTTACTAGCCTTGTGGCTAGGTTTCCAGTACCAGGCATAAGTTCCCACTTGTTTCGTTGGTTTTAAGTCCAATCAGAGAGCTGTTTGTTAGCACCAAGGTATTCATGCCACCCCTGCAGGCACCCTTAGGGGTATTTACTATGTGGGCCATTCTCGTGACTCACAGGTATCATAGCGAGATGGGACTTTGGAAACTTGCATCACACCTTCTGGTATTATGCAAGTAGTCCTCAGGGAGGAGACATTTGGGTCAGTTCCAGCTCAGGGGCCTCTGGCCTGTGTCTGAAGTGCATGGTGTCTTCAGCAACAGGGACTTAACCTTACACCTCTGGGGGGTGGCTAAGAGCAACACAATAATAGCCTATATGTTTTTTGAGTTCTTCAGACAGCCCTAATCAAAACTTAAAAACAGTTTTTGATGCCTGGGGTTGGGATTTTTGTTAGGCAGTCTTTGGCTCTTGGAGGGAGCATTGCCAGTCCAGATGAAAAAAATTTCTTTTAAACTATATTACATTTATCTACACACAGACTTATGTGTATTATAGCTTTTGGTTTTGAGTAGATAATTTTAAGTATGGTTCCTTGCGGCAGTTTCAGACATCCTTCCGGTTATTTTTCCTCCATCCCACCTCCTTTTGTATTTATCTTCCCTAACTACTGCCCCCGAGCTTGCCCCATTTCTCCATTTAGATCACTGTACTCTGCAATTCCTCTCTCAATTGCTCCTCCCCCTTCCTACCCTTGTCACTCTCTTGGTTTCTGCAATTACTCCAGGAGATGAGCCCCACAACTGAAGATTTGGAGGTAGGAGCTTCCAATGAACATGTAACGTTTGTCTTCCCTAGGTCTGTATCACTTCACTTGCTATGATCTTTACTACTTCTATCCAGTTACTGAAAAGTTCACAAATTTCATTGTTCTTTACAGATGAGTAGGATTCTGTGGTGTGTATGTGTCACGTTTTCACTGCCGGTCAGTTAGTTAGCTGGCTGAGCGAGAATCCATGGAGAAGAATGCAAGTCCCTCGGGCATATGCCAAAGAATGGTACAGCTGTATCACATGGTAGATTTATTTTTAGTTTTTGAGAATTTTCCGGACTGATTTCCATAGTGGCTGCACCAGTTTGCAACCCAGCAACAGTGAATGAAGGTATGAGGGTCCCCTCCAAATCCACACCCCTGCCTCCAGCAATTTTTGTTGGCTGTTTTATTCTTCTTTGCCATCTGACTTGGATAAGATGAAATCTCAAAGTTGTTTTGATTTGCATTTTCCTAACTGCTATGGACAATGAACTTTTTATTTTTAATTTAAAAAAAAACCTTTCTTTTTTGTTTTTCTTTTGAGAAATCTTTGTTCAGGTCCCAGCCTTAGTTTTTGAATGGGTCATTTGAATTTATGATTCTTTGTTACTGAGTTCTCTATATATTGTGGATATCAAGCCTTTGTCAGATGTGCAGATGGAAAAGATTCTCTCCCATTCTGTGGGCTTCCCGTTCCCCTGTTTGACTCTAGCTACACAGTAAATTTTTAGATTTTTATCAAACCCTACCTGGTCAGTTGCTGGCCTTACATTTTGGGAAAATGGAAAATCGAGTCCTTTGCCGTACCTGTATCATGTAGAATACTTCCTATATATTTTCTTCTGGAAGTTTCAGTATCTCAGGCTTCATGTTTAGGTCTTTGACCCGTTTGTAGTTAGTTTTTGTGCAAGATGATAGATATGTATCTACTTTTATTTTTCTACATGTGGACATTGAGCTTTCCCAGCACCGTTTTCTGAAGATGCTCTCTTTCCCAGCATATGCTTTTGGTATCATTATCAAATAGTAAATGCCTGAAGTTATGTGTACTCATATGTGGGTCTTCAGTTTTGTTTCCCGCGTCTGCAGGTGTGTGTCTGTGTGAGCACCGCACTGTTATCTTTTTCAGTGATGACACTGTCACAGATCTTCAGATCTGGACTAGCACCCCCTTCACCTCCATCACAGGTCCTTTTGCTCATGATTGTTTTGGCGATCCTGGTTCTTTTGTAGTTACGTATGCATTTTAGGATAATGCTGCCTATTTCTGTGAAGAATGAGTTGGGGATTTTGATTGGGATTGTACTGAATCTGTACATAACTTTTGCTAAAACGGCCCTTCTCACAATGGTAACTGCTGATCTGTGAGCATAGGATGCCTTTCCATTTTCTAGTGTCTTTCTCTATCTCCTTCTCCAAAGGTTTAACGTTTTCATTGTAGAGGTCCTCCACTTTCTTGGTGAGGTTTTTCCCCTAGATATTTGATTTCCTTTCAGGCTGTCGTTAATGGGAGTGTGTCCATACTGTCTTCCTCTGTGTGTTTGTTGGTGGTATATAGAAAAGCTATTGATCTCTGCGAGTTGATTCTGTAGCCTACTAAATTTGTTTATCATTTCTAGATTTTTTTTTGGTTAAAGTTTTGAGATCTCTAATGTATAATATCATGTCGTCTGCAAATAGGGATAGCTTTACTTATTTCCCTGTTGGTATCCCTTTAATATCCTTCTCTTGCTTTATTGCTTCAGCTAGTACTTCAGGCACAACGTTGAAAATGAGTAGAGATGGTGGACACACATGTCTTATTCTTGACCTCACTGGAGTTGCTTCCAGGTTTTCTCCAGTTAGGATGTGTTGACCACGGGATTCTCACATGTAGCTTTTACTATGTTAAGTGTGTTATCTCTAGGTCTACATTCTCTAGGAATAAAAGCATGTTAGATTTTTGTCAAAGGCCTTTTCTATGTCTATTAAGATGATCATGTGATTTTGTCTTTAATTTCACTTATGTGGATTCTTTATTGACTTGCACATGTTGAAACATCCCTGCATTTTAGGGATACTGCCAACTTGGTCGTGGTGGCTAATCTTTTTGATACATGTATCTGTATTTTGTTTTCAAGTATTTTATTGAGCATTTTTATTGGGGATTTTGGCATGTAGTTTTCTTTTTTTTTTCCTTGTGTCTACCTGGTTTGGATATTAAAGTGATACTGACTTAGTAGAAGGCATTTTGAAGTACTCCTTCTGTTTCTTTCTTTTTTTAAAATAGTTTAAGAAGAACTGGTTGTAGATCTTTTTTGAATGTCTGGTAGAATTCTGCTATAAATCCATCTGGGCCTGGATTTTTTTTTTTAAGACTTTAAGCCTTCTTTTACTACTATTCCAGGCTTCTTACTTCTTATGGGTCTCTTTAATTTCTTCACTTCTTGGTTTAATTTGGTGGTTTGGCTGAGTCTGGAAATTTTTCCATTTCTTGTAGGTTTTCCAGCTAGGATGACAGATGTTAAAGCATCCCTTTATACTGCTCCCAATTTCTTCCATGTCTATTGTAATGTCTCCGTTTATTTTGATTCTGTTAATTTTGGCCATTTCTTTCTTTTGTTTAGTTAGACTAAGGGTCTGTCAATCTCATTTATCTTCTCAAGGAAGTAGGTCTTAGATTCGTTGATTCTGTGTTTTTTTTTTAATTTCTATTTCAGTGATTTATATGTTGATTTTTTATCATTTCTTGCCATTGGCTGGGTTTGAATTTGGTTTGTTTTTGTTTTTACAAGTTTGGAGGTTCATCATTAAGTCATTTGTTTGTGCTTTTTCTTAATTTTTTAAGGTCGGCACTTAAGAAGTATAAATTTTCCCGGTAGGACTGCTTTCAGTGTATCCCAGAGGTTTTGTTGTGGTATTTTCACTTTCATTTAGTTTCAGGAAATTTTTTATTTATTTCTTGATTTCTTATTTGACCCATTATTCATTCAGTATTGTTTAATCTCCATGAGTTTGTTTAATTACTAGAGATTTGTTTGCTGTCAATTTTAAATTTTACTACATTGTGGTAAGATAGGATATAAGGAGTGATTTCAGTGCTTTTGAATTTGTAAAGATTAGTTTCATGTCCCAGGATATGGTCGTTTTAGAAAATCTTATGTGCTGCTGAATGCAATTTGTATTCTTTAGTGTTTGGGTGGAATATTTTAGAGATATGTATGATATCAATTAATTATGATTTTATTCTGTTTATTTTTTTTACAGATGATTTATCTACTGGAGAAAGATTATTATTGCAATTGTGTTCTATCGTGGATTCATGTTTATTTATATCTTTAAATCTTTAAATCCAGTCATACATTTTTCCTTTTTTAAAATAGATTTTTATTGAGCTCTACATTTTTCTCTGCTCCCCCACCTTTCCTTTCCCCCCTTCAGCCCTCCCCCAAGGTCCCCATGCTAAGGTCCCCATGCTCCTAATTTACTTAGGAGATCTTGTATTTTTTACCTCCCATTTAAATTAGATCTATGTAAGCCTCTCTTGGTGTACTCATTGTTGTCTAAGTTGTCTGGGATTGTGGTTTGTAGGCTGGCTTTCTTTGCCATCATACATTTTTTTTATATTTATTTATTTATTATGTATACAATATTCTGTCTGTGTGTATGCCTGAAGGCCAGAAGAGGGCACCAGACCTCATTACAGATGGGTGTGAGCCACCATGTGGTTGCTGGGAATTGAACTCAGGACCTTTGGAAGAGCAGGCAATGCTCTTAACCACTGAGCCATCTCTCCAGCCCGCCATCATACATTTTTAATGAAATTGGGTGCACCAGAGTTTGGTGCTTATATGATTAGGGTAATAATGTCTTCTTGGTTATTTGCTCTCTTGATTAGCTTGACTATTCTTTTATCACTTCTTAGTTTTAATTTAAAATCTCTTTTGTCAGATATTATGATAGTGCTACCTGCTTGCTTCCTGGTACCATTTGAATGGAGTACTTTTATCCATCCTTTTATTTTAAGGTGGTGTTTATCATTAAAGATAAGACGTGTTTCTAGCAGGCAGCAGATAGATGACTTTGCTTCTTGGTCTCTTTGATGAGTCTTTATCTTTTGCTTGGAGAACTGAGGCCATTGATATTTAAAGTTTTATTGCAATGTTTGTATTAATTGCAGTCATCATGTTACTGATTCTTGGTGGTGTTGTGGTCTCAGTCTATGGACAGAGAAGATTGGAATAGAAAAGAGGATATGTGGGTGACTTGGGCCTAGAGGTTGAAAATAGCTTGGGTGTAATGGAGTCAGGTGGTCTTAGGAGAATGGGCTAGTGTTCAGGATGTGCTTCCTGGTCTAAGCCTTGAGTGTAGGTATGGATCTATATGGATGGAATGTTTGGATGTGGTGTGGGAGACACCTGTGGTTTGGGATTAAAGTAGGGTAAGTCCTGATAGAGTAGTAGAGGTTGGTTGTGGCACAGTCAGGGGTGACTTGACTCATCCAGGGTACTAGATGTGGGGCTCAGGATAGATCTGGTGAGTTGCAGAAGGTACATGGATGGGGAATGTCAGGTAGAGTCACTGGGTTGGATTCTGGAGAAGGATGTGGGAGATATGGCTTGGAGAGAGGTTGGAGAGGGGGTGTAAGTTTTCATGCTGTTGGCTTGGACCCAAACGTTGTGCAAGGTCTCATAAGAATGGATGGGTATTATGAATAAGGATAGTGTTCTGAATTTGAAGAGAGCTGAGAGGGACAGCATTGCTTCACTATATGATTCCGCTGGGGCTAAGTATAGAGGACCGTATTGACAACACAAGACCCCAGATCTATACAGCCTCTTTTGGCTTTGTATTTGGCATTACAACCTGACCTTCTTTTTATCATCTACAAACATTCTCAAATAAAGGTTACCAGCAAAGGCATAAACAAATTTCCTCAACAACTGTAACCTCAAAATATGTTTCCTAAAAACCTGTGTAGGCTGGGATAATGCTGAAGTATTTGGAAATGGAGTGTGAATTCATGCTCTGTGTGTCCAATTAGCTCTGGTCTAATTGTCTTTACTTCAAAACGCATTTACCTATATTTTCAACCTCAAGGAACTGATTATAAATGACATCATTTGCTTCTCCATGTTTTCATTAGTAAAAGTAACACTATTTATTAACCAAAATAGTACTTAGTGCTTACCCCCAATGCTTTTACCTCTTCTTTTACGACATAAACTATTGGTCTTTTATTCTGTGACATTTTAAGTTAGATATGGCACAAAGTTGTAGAAGATGAATATGCTCCTTTCCTGTAAAGAGATACAGAAAAAAAGTAGCACTAATTATTTTTGAAGAAGGCATTTAAAATGGAAGTCCCCGACTGACTACCATAGAATTGCTTGGAATTAGCTTTTATTTTAAAAAGTTTGTATCAAGTGACTTTGATTCCTATTATTAAAGTACTGGCAAACCAAATCCCAGAACGTATCAAAAAATCATCCACCGTGATCAAGTCGCCTTCATCCCAGAGATGCATGTATGGTTCAACATATGAAAGTCTATCAGTATAATCCACCATATAAATAAACTTAAAGAAAAGAAAAAACTGTGTGATCATCTTATTAAATGCTGAAAAAGCCTTTGACAAAATCCAACACCCCCTTCATGATAAAGGTCTTGGGGAGATCATGGATACAAGGAACATGCATAAGCATAATAAAAGCTATATACAACAAGCCAACAGCCACCATCAAATTTAATGAAAAGAAATTCAAAGTGATTCCACTAAAATCAGGAACAAGCCAGGTCTGTCAACTGTCTCCATATCTTTGAGGACAATTCAATATAGTCCTTAAAATTCTAGCGAGATCAATAAGATGACAAATGGAGAGCAAGTAGATATAAATTGGGAAGGAAGAAGTTAAATTTTTGCTAACTGAGGATGTTATAATTGTAAACATAAATGACCCCAAAAATTCTACCAGGAAACCCCTATACCTGATAAACACCTTCAGTAATGTGGCAGAATACAAGATTAATTCAAAAAATAAGTAGCCCTCCTATATGCAAAGCATAAATGGACTGTGAAAGAAATCAGAGAAACATCACCCTTTATAATAGCTACAAATAATATAAAACATCTTTGTGTACCTCCACCAAACAATTGAAAGACAAGTATGATAAGACTTTTATTTTTGGATAGAGCAGGTTTATTTGCAAATAATTCCACATTAGCATCCACCACTGAGGGATGGCAGAGTAGGAACTTTAAGGAGAACTGCTTGCTGTTCCACACAACATTACCTTGACCAAAGAACCCACTTCACAGCCTAGGAAATACACCAGGAACCATGGGGATGGAGCTGACCGGCTAGCTTTCTTATGCTGTTGTAGTCTCCCTGCCTAGGGAACGTGGCTGCCCAAATATGACAAGACTTTTAAGTCTCTGAAAAAAATTGAAGAATATATCAGAAAATATAAAGATTTCCCAAGCTCATGGATAGGTAAGATTAACATAGTAAAAATGACAGTCTTATCAAAAGCTATAGATTGAATTCAATTCTACAGATTCAATTTAATCTCCAACAAAATTCCAACACAATTCTCCACAGACCTTGAAAGAACAATTTTCAACTTCATACAGAAAAACAAAACAAAACAAAACAAAACCCCGTGATAGCTAAGGCAATTCTGTGCAAAAGGAACTTCTGGAGGAAGTCAGGAACATCCCTGACTTCAAGGTCTATTATAGAATTTTGGTAATAAAAAAGAGCATGGTGCTGGCAAAAATAAAAGCAAAAAACCTTGACAGGTAAGCCAATGGAATTGAATCAATGATCCTGACATAAATTCACATACCTATGTATATTTTTGATAAAGATGTCAAAATTATACAAGGGAAAAAAGAAAGCATCTTTAACAAATGGCACTGGCCTAACTGGGTGTTAGCATGTAGAAGAATGCAAATAGATTCATATATATCACCCTGCACAAAACTCAAGTCCAAGTGGATCAAATATAAATCCATCCTCACTGAACCTGATAAAAGAGAAAGTGGGAAGTAGCCTTCAATGCATGGACACAGGAGACTACTTCCTGAATATAATGCCAGTACCACAGACACTGAGATCTACAATTAAGAAATGGAACCTCCTGAAATTGAGAAGTTTCTGTGAGGAAAAGGACACAGTCAATAAGACAAAATGGCAAAATACAGAATGGGAAAAAATATTTACCAACCCCACATGTGACATAGGATTGATCTCCAAAATATATGAAGAAACTCAAGAAACTAGACATCAAACTACCAAATTATTCAATTTAAAAAGTGGGGTACAGATACAAATAGAAAATTTTCAACAGTAAAATCTTGAATGACCAGAAGATACTTCAACATCCTTAGTCATTGGGGAAATGAAAATCAAAACATCTCTGAGATAGATACCATTTTATACTAAGCTTATGCTGGAGAGGATGTAGAGTAAGGGGAACACTCCTCCATTGCTTGTGGGAATGCAAACTTCTATAGCTGCTGTGGTAACCAATCTACCTCAAGACCCAGCTATGCCAATCTTGTGCTCAATAATATCAGAAGGACACTTGCTCAGCTATGTTCATAGCAGCATTATTCATCATAGTCAGAACCTGGAAACAACCTATATGCCCCTCAACCAAAGAATGGATAAGGAAAATGTGGTACATTTACACACTGGATTATTATTTGCTGTAAAAAAAAATGGCCTCATAAAATTTGCAGGTAAATGGATGGAACTAGAAAAAAATCATTCTGAGTGAGGTAACTCAGACTCAGAAAGACCAACAGGCTATGTACTCACTCATAAGTGGATATAGGAGCAAAGTAGAAGATTACCAACCCATAATTCACAGCTCCAGAGAGGCTAGATAACAGAGAAGACCCAAAGAAAGTTACATAGATTTCCCTGGGAAGGGGAATTAAAAGTGATCTCCTGGGTAAAATGGGGACAGGGATGGAGGGGTGGGGGAATAATACTCAACTTTGTATGGAAAAGCAAAAAACCTAGGAGAGCCAAAACAACCCTGTAGAATAAAGGAACTTCCAGAGGAATCATCATCCCTGACATCAAGCTCTAGTATAGAGCTGTAGTAATGAAAACAACTTGGTACTGGCATAAAAACAGACAAGTTGACCAATGGAATTGAACCAAAGACCTGGATATTAATCCACACACCTACGAACACCTGATTTTTGACAAAGAAGCTAAAATTATACAAAGGAAAAAGAAAGCATCTTCAACAGATTGTGCTGTCATAACCAGATGCCAATATGTAGAAGAATGCAAATAGATCCATATCTATCCCTATGCACAAAAGCGCAAATTAAAGGCCTCAATATAAATCTTACCACACTAAATCTGATAGTACAGAAAGTGGGAAGTAGCCTTCAATGCACTGGGATGGGAGACCAAGTCCTAAATATAACCCTAGTATCACAGACATGAGAGCAACAATAAATAAATGGAACCTTCTGCAACTGAGAAGCTTCTGTAAAGCAAAGGACATGGTCAATAAGACAAAACAGCAGCCTACTGAATGGGAAAAGTGTTGAAGGAGCGGCAGGGCTGTGTCCCGGGAACACGGCCGCCAGCATGGCTAGCTTATGCCCGAAATAATTACACGGAAACTGTATTCTTTTAAACACTGCCTGGCCTGTTATCTGTAGCCTCTTACTGGCTAGCTCTTACATATTAATCTAACCCATTTATAATAATCTGTGTAGCCCAAGAGATAGCTTACCAGGAAAGATCTTAACCTGAGTCTGTCTGGAGTGGGAGAATCATGGCGACTCCTGACTCGGCTTCTTTCTCCCAGCATTCTCTTCTGTTTACTCCACCCACCTATGTTCTAACCAATAAAATGGGCCAAGGCAGTTTCTTTATTATAATTAACCAATGTCCTTCCTCCATCAGAAAAGATCTTCACCAACCCCACATCAGACAGAGGACTGATCTCCAAAATATATAAAGCACTCAAAAAATTAGATATTAAAATTACAAATAATCTAATTAAAAATGGGGTACAGATCTAAACAGAGAATTCTTAACAGAAGAATCTCAAATGGCCGAGAGACCCTTAAGGACATGTTCAACATCCTTAGCCATCAGGGAAATGCAAATCAAAATGACTATGAGGAATATGGGGTAAAGGAACACTCCTCCATTGCTGGTGGGAGTGTAAACTGGCACCACCCCTTTGGATATCAGTATGGTAATTTCTCAGAAAACTAGGAAACAACCTACCTCAAAGCCCAGCAGTACCACTTTCGGGTATATACCCAAAGGATGCTCAGTTGTAACACAAGGACATGTGCTCAACTGTGTTCATAGCAGCATTGTTTGTCATATCCAGATCCTGAAACAACCTAAATGCCCCGCAACTGAAGACTAGATAAGGAAAATGTGGTACATTTACACAATAGAGTACTACACAGCAGAAAAAACAATGACATCTTGAAATCTGCAAATGGATGGATCTAGAAAACACCATATTGAGTAAGGTAACTCAGATCCAGAAAGACAAATATCATATGTACTCACTCATAAGTGGCTTTTAGACATAAATAAAAAAACCCAACTTATAGTTCACAATCCCAGAGAACCTAGACAACAATGAGGACCCTAAGAAAGACATACATGAATCTAATCTACATGGGAAGTAGAAAAAGACAAGCTCTCATGAGTAAATTGGGAGCATGGGGACTATGGGAGAGGGTAAAAGGGGAGGGAGGAGAAAGGGAAGACAGTGGAGAAAAATATATAGCTCAATAAAAACAATATGAGGTACCATCTTACACCAGTCAGAATGACTAAGATAAAAACACCATTGATAGCTTATACTAGAGATGATGTGGAGTAAGGGGAACATTCCTCCATTGCTAGTAGGAATGCAAACTTGTACAACCACTCTGAAAATCAGTATGGTGATATCTCAGAAAATCGGGAATCAACCTACCTCAGGATCCAGCAATACCACTCTGGGGCATGTACCCAAAGGATGCTCAATTATACTACAAGGACATTTGTTCAACTGTGTTCATAGTAGCATTATTTGTAATAGCCAGAATCTGGAATCAACCAAGATGCCCCTCAACTGAAGAATGGATAAAGAAAATGTGGATGGAGAAGAGGCCACAAGACCTCAACCCTACGCGAAGGACTCAGGCAATTAAGGAATGCTGAGAACGGGAGAAATAGTCTTCCCCAGGGAAGAGCACACCAATTG